AAAAAAAAAAAAAAAAAGCCTCTTCACCGTGACTACATTTAAATCGAAATGTCTCTTTTTTTTATTATCAATTTTTTTATTTACATGAAAACAACAACAATTTCAAATTTGACTTAAACATAACTCTCCATATATCATGGCCCTAATTAATTACAGGTCTTAGTCGTTGATATTCGAGAATATAACCTCTAAATACCTGTAATACTACTTCCACAAGCTCATCTGAATCCTGATCAAGAATATGACCACATAAATCCCTCCACAGCACCTCTAACCTAAATATCAGTTAGGTTCACATAGTCTTAAATGCGTTCTGCTAATTATAATGTGCCTAACCTTTTACTAAAAATTACAAGGAATATTGAATTCAAATCGCTTTATAGTAAATTGAGACGGGTTGATTTTCTTTTATTTCACCTATCTATTATAAATCAAATGCATACAAAATTTATTTTGAACCAAAAATACCTTATTTCCTTAAAAAAGTTATTACAATAATACTTCGTCAAATATTATAAAGTGTAAATGATATCTAACAAGTGGAACATAAAAATAATCTAAGTAATATTTCACAAAAAAGTATTTAAAGAAGTTAAACTTATCTTATCGAAAATTAGATATCGAAGATGAGGATATACCTCCGATCCTAAAGATCCCAATTACGGTGTGAAAAAAAACAGAGGTTTTAAAATTTCATTTAACCTCTGCCAAATTCAACATATATTTGTAGAATATCAGGGATATGTGCAGATTTTTTAGGTGTTCCGAGTAATTACTTACTTTTGTTCCCAAATATGTTCTTATGAATGGGAACCCAGAGTAGAGAAATATTTAACTGGATCGACATCTTATTTAGAGACATGTAGCAGTAAAAGACCGTTCTAAACCCAAGGATTTTGGAATAGTTTAACTAATTAATGGTATATAAATCCCAATTATCCAATTTCAGCCGAGCTATAGCTTTCCTAACAGCGATCACCGTTGCGCCCTGTTGGTTACCACACAATACGAAGATTTGTTTAGTGTCGCTTGCTCTACAATAACTCAACAAAGAAGGATACAGATCCATTTATTAATGGTAAAAGAGCAATTAGTTGATTTATATTTGTAGGTCTTTTTTTTTATTGAAAATTAGCTGAATTAATTGCTTTATATAGCATATGTATCTATACATGCATATCTATATCGTGGTTACCATGTCCGTCATTATATAAATTCATTCAACCCTTATAAAAACCGTTTATGCAACTACAATAATTAAATTAAATTTGATTGTTAAGTAACGATGTCTGTTAAAACTATCTACTTAATAATTTCACACAATATTAACTTTAATTTGATAGAAGTTTTAATTCTTATCTTCTGATCTATTTTTTTAAATGTCCAAAAAAAATATTCGCCGTAACCCAATCATATAATTCCGTTGGCCAAAACCTTAAACAAGTTACAATGGATCAATATATAATGACAATTCATTTCATTAGTACTTACTCTGTACACTTTATGAAGAATAAACGTTCATCTGGACGTGTTATTTCCACCTCATTTCGAAGCATGCCTTGAATAATGCGTTTAGCCATTGCATCTCCAGTCTGCACACCAAATAATCTATTAAGTTTCAGCTTTCTTATTATATCTAATGCAACTGAGTTCGTATCTAATGGTGTTGGATAGACTATTGTGGTTCTTATACCACTACAATTCGCATCCATTTTTAATTCAATCCTCAAAGTGCGCATTAAGCCACGAACTGCATGTTTTGTACCAGCATATACAGAGAAGAAAGGCAGAGGATTCAGACCTTTATATCAATATTAAATAGTTATTCATAAAATAAGATCGCAGCTTTATTAAGAAAGAATAAATACCTGCCACAGACGATATAGCAACAATATGACCTTTACCCAATTCTTTCATGTTCTCTAGAAAAACACGATTTGTCTATGATGATAAAATATATAAAATTAAAAACCATCATGTATATTAATTTTTTATAGAAACATTCACCCAAAAATGTGATGTGAAATTAACATTAATCATTCTCTGTACTTCACTCGGTTCGGGTTCAAGGATATCTGAAAAGTATAAAATGCCCGCATTGTTGATTAATATAGTAGCTTTGCCTAGATCACTGGTAATATTTTTATTTAGTTCCACTATTTCATCATAATTGGTAATATCGACCTAGATGAAAAAGAGTGTATTTTACATTTTACAAATATTTCGAATTCTTCATAAAATAATCATTTGCATATATTCACGCATATCAATTAACTAAGCCTCATTCCATATATCAATGTAATCGCATTATTATGGAAGTAATAGATTAAAATAACCAACCTTATAAGCTTTTGTGTACACTTTATAATTTTCATTGATTAATTGAACTGTTTTTTGTGCTTCCTCATAGTTAACATCGACGACTGCAACATGGCAACCATGTTTGGCGAGTTCCATGGAAATTGCTCTACCAAGACCACCTCCTCCGCCAGTGACCTAGGAAAACAATGCATTTATTTTGTATTAATATATTGTATTTGTATAAGTAAAATCAGATAGAGACATATATAGTTTTAACTTCCTTAAACTTGATTTTACTTTACAGATATAATTATCCTATAAACCAATCATATACTACATGCATTTTCCAAAGTTTATACAATAGTGTAGAATATATAGTTTTTAGGCATTTAGATTGTATGTAGTTTTAAGATTATCTTTGCTTAAGACCTATGTCGAATTAACCAATACAGGTTATTCAGATTACGCTAGTTAATCTTGATAACTGCTCATTCAACTGATGTTGTTGTCGTTGTTGTTTTTTTTTTCTTTGTGCTCTGTCTTATCATACCAGATTTCATAGACTCGGTTGCAATTGTTTTTATTAAGGTCCATTTTCCGCTTTAGGAGTCTTTTTTTATACTGATCAAATGAATGTCTTAGATGTTATTTTTATATCGCATGTAGCTTATCTAAAACAGGACTAAAATAGTACCTTAAAGCACATTGCTTGCAGCGACTTCAATTCGTCAAGTTCACTCCGCAAAATGAATTGACGACTATATGTATAAGTATGTCTTTTCAAATAAGCAAACGTACATATACTCCATCCAACATGTTATCTCAAGTACTCTAGCATTAATTTCAGAGTTACAGAAAATATATTCTCCTATCATGTGCATTTTTTTGCTTTTAATATATAAAATCTTGATGATTCGCCTTAATTATTAAGGCGAATTATTATTATTAATTATTAATTACATTGATACCAAATTAATGATTCTGATTAATTCAATAAATCATTCAGTTCAAGCGAAAATGAATCAATTAGCTTAAGCTAATTGCGTGATTTATTTTAATACCTTATAATTAACATATATAAATTGAAGCCGATATTTTTATAATTACCTACTAGTATAATAAAATATCCATAAATTTTTTTAATTATTAATACTCAGATAGCCGTGAACGTGGGTCGCAAAGCTCATCCCAAAGCAGAAAAACTGGTTAGCAAAGGACATCGGCGAGGTCAACTATTATCTCATAAAATTATGCCTGGTCATGAATATTTCAATAACTACCTATACCGCATGTGCAAAGTAGAGTCACCCGAACAAAAAGCGCTAACGTGTGGAAAACACCACACACAAGTTGGTGTTCTCTTCCCCAGGACGGTGACAGAAGAAAATGAACGAAAATAAACCAAATTTGGATCACATAGCAATGTTAGCTGAAAAAATCCTGAGGTTCAAAAGATAGATCTCGGTAAAAGACAACTAGAGCAAGCAGATGTATTAAACCAAGACAAAGTACAAGGCTAATCACCTAAAGCAGTAACAGGACCTAAACGCAGATCATATCGATGGAAGTTTAAGTGACTTATAGGAGCCCTACCTCGAATAAATACTAACATAATCCCTGGGTAGGACAAAGTCTCTAAGAATGAGGCTGAAGGATTGAGTTCGTGCAAGAAGGACACATACTTTCCGGATCGCCAGATCGTAGTCAGTGCATAGACTTTTGCCTTCTCTCCGCCGCACAAAACAAAACATGAAACTATATATTAATTAAAAAGATTAAATAAAAAATGTAGAGTTATCCTTCATCTTTGCTTAGGATGAAATTTTGTATGAATTTGGCAGAAGAATATATGTTTGAGTCAAATTTTGAGAGAATTATTACAGATACACATGGATTGTACTGTAAAGGTATAGGACTCATAGGTTCCTGTAATATAATATTTGATTTCAATATTCTTTAAAACACCAGAAATGGAACTGTCAATATTTTACACATGGATTGTACTGTAAAGGTACACGACTCATAAGTTCCTGTAATATAATATTTGTAATATTTGATTTTTATATTCTTTAAAACACCAGAAATAGAACTGTCAGTATTTTAGAATACTATATTTGTTTTTATTTTTTTTTATATATTAATTATAAATATTTATGCTTAACATTTCATTGACCTTGATTTTCCTTTTTTGTTTTATGAATTTTTAATTTTTGAATAATATATTTTCACACTTTACCACTGCTATATCACCATCAATGCTTTTAATACTTTTACATCTAAAAAGTTTCTTATAAACTTCCAGTAATAAACTTAGTGGTACCACAATCGGTATCCACAGGATGGAAAATATATTTAAAAGTTTTAAAAAATATTGTCTCATTTTAAATTTAAATCTTAATTTAATTTAATATAGTCGAAACAATCCTCTTGATTGTTGCTCGGTAACTAAATTTTCAAATGGAAATTATATGATCTATTAGAGCTCAACTCGATGAAGTTTTCAACGAATCAGCCTATCTTTTTTTTTATTATTGAACATATAACATTATCCATAACTTATATAATTTCTTTTAAAGCTTCTATTAATAATTATGCAAATTTAAGTAATTATATCATTAATTTATAATTAATATATAGATTGTCAACGAACTGTATCAATAACTATAATTACCATAAATTAAACTTTAATATAAGTATTTATGCTACAGAAAAAAAAAAAAAATATAATATATATATATTTATATATTCATGATGTTAAACAATACAAGTAAAATCTCAGAACTTTATATATTTTTATAAATATTGTACTATTATATATATATTATATATATATATTAACAATATTTATTAAAAAATATACAAAGTTCTGAGATTTTACTTGTATTGTTTAACATCATGAATGTCGTGAGTTGATTTTTATAAGAACTCAGTCTTCACTTGAATTGTTTCCCTAAAGATTTTTTTAAGGCGCTTAAAAATGTGTGTGCCATCATTCGATCAATTATTTCCGCCGGCCAAAACCTATTAAAAATAACAAAAAAAGTTTTAAAACCAAAATTATTTACAGTTTTTATACTTACTCAATGCATTTCATGTAAGGAATTTCTAAAGCAGGTACACCAATATTCACCTCGTTTCGAAGCATACCTTGAATAATACGATAAGCCACTGAAACACCACTCTGTATTTGAAATACTGTATTCCAGTTGCATTTATTTAAATCATCTAAGACACCTGAATTTGTATCCATTACTGTTGGAAAGACTGTTGTTGTTTTTATATCTCTACACTTTTCATCCATTCTTAATTCAACTCTTAAGGTGCGCATAAAGCCACGAACTCCATATTTTGTACTGCAATATACAGATGAAAGTGGAAAAGGACCCAAACCTTTACATAAATATTAAAAACATTTTTTAAAGAACAGTACGTTTTTTTCAAAAAGTATACCTCCTGTAGAACATATAGCAACAATATGACCTTTACCGACTTCTTTCATATTTTCGAGAAAAACACGTTTTGTCTATTATAATAAAAAATATTAAATAAAAAATTCTTAATGTAAATTATTTTTAATGAAAATATCTTTACCCAAATATGTGAAGTCAAATTTACGTTAATCATTCTTTGTATTTCAATGGGGTCTGGCTTAAAAATATCTGAAAATGCTATAATGCCGGCATTGTTTACTAAAATAGTGGCTTTACCTAGGTCATCAGTAATGATTTTATTAAGTCTCACTACTTCGTCGTAACTTGTGATATCAATCTGCATAAAAAAGATATTATATATATATTTGAAAAAGCTTTGAAATACTTAATTTTGTCAGTCATAAATAGACTGCGTATTTACGTACTTGTTGCATTAAATTACTTATATATATAATTAAATAATTATTGAAGTTAAAAAACGGATAACGAACCTTATAAGCTTTTGTGTTCACTTTATAATTTTCATTGATTAATTGAACTGTTTTTTGTGCTTCTTCATAGTTAATATCGACGACTGCAACATGGCAACCATGTTTTGCGAGTTCCATGGAAATTGCTCTACCAAGACCACCTCCTCCGCCGGTAACCTGCGGAAAAAGTAATGTACGCATACTCAATTTATTTTATAATTGTTTCTTATGGTAATATGGTATATTAGAAGAAACATTAGTTAATCATTAGTTATTATTGAATTACTTAAAAATAAATCCATATGCAGAGTTTTATTCAATTAGTTAATGAACTAAAACATAGGTTTCCATATTTAAACACAGACGTAAAACCCCAAAGGGTTATCACTAAATCGGTTTATACAAAAGTCTATATTTTTAATTTGAAACCAGTTGCGAAAAGATGATATATTAATGTCCTTGCTAAATTTTATGGGTTCAATGTTTTGTGACAATACTTGAATTTTTCATTAGACTCCAAATCATTATGAATTAATCTTATACATATAAGTTGTATGATACAATATTAATGCAAATTTTAATCTTCTTAAAATTATACCTATATAAAATTTTTTACTTGAATAGTGACTTTTGTATTAGTTAACTAAATCTATTCATCTTCACTAGGACCTGCTCGATAGTTAAACTCTATGTTACCAGCAGCACAATCAATACACAAAAACGTCTCGAATTAATTAACGATATAAATTTCTGAAATAACCCAAATACGAATATCGTAGAATGCTACTTCTATAGAATTTAAAAATATTTTGGATATAGTGTAATTATTAACAACATTTAGTTGTATATTAATATTTGTTATAGATTATTATAGAGTTTTTTATTTTATATAAAGATCTTTAAATAAAACACTTTTTACACATTACCACTGCAATTTCACCAGCAATACTTTTAACATTTTCGGACCTAAGAAATTTATTATAAAGTGATTGTAATACACTCAAAACAATCATAACCGGAGTAATCAAAATCGATATTATTTTTGCAATTTCTATACGGGACAGACTCATTTTATTTATATTAAAATTTATAAACTTGTGTTAATACTATATTTTCTAATCGAAGTAATCTCCTCGACTGTTGCTGAGTAACTAAATTTCCAATAAGAATTATATGATTTATAAGAACATAGTTCGATCAAATTTTAACCGAAACAAAATGGAGATTTATTATTATTGCAATTATCAAGGGACTTAATATGAGAAAAAAAATAAATTTTTAATTACAAGATTTGTTTCTTCAACAAATTGTATTCAATAAATACACTAATCTAATTATTTTTTCTCTTACAAAGATCTATAATTACAATAAAATAAATTTATTAAAACAATTAACCTTTAATTATTTGATATAAAGCTCAGTTGTTATATTCGATAATTAATTTTCCTGTATTGAGTTAACTCATATGTAAATATATAGCGAAACTTCTGTTAAGTGTACACCGGTTAAGGGACCAGTTCCTTTATTCGGTTAAAAGAAATATTCAATTTTTATAACAAACATACTTAAGAGAGATTTCAATTAAATAGAGCTCCTATTGCAAAACCGAAAATAATTTGCATTTGGATCCACCTTAGTTACCCAGATCATTTGAAAGAATTTTACATATAATTTTTTAAATATTATTGATATATCAAAAACTAAGTAAAGTATTTACTTTTTAATTATAATTAATAAATCAATCCGAATCAAACGTTCAGTATGTTATTTTGATTATAGTTGCATAAATACCTTTTTGATCAATGATAATCGATAGAGAAAATAGAATCAATTGTAAATGAAAACAAAAGACACGTTTAGAGGTCTGTTCATTCAGTTTTCAGAGAAATAATAACTACAACTTTTCCCCTGGTGAAGTGTATGGTTACTATTATTTTTTTTAGTGACTTCTGCTATCTGACTTCAACTAGTGGATTAAAATCTACTGAGCTCCAAACAATCAATTGTTGCTCAGCTTCTGAGTCGTACTTGTTAAATCAAGTTTCTTCACTTATTACAGTTTTATTGTAGCTGCTAAACAGTTTTTTATTAAATTCGAGAAAGTAAAATATGAAGCTAGGTGCACACGTGCTCTTTTTTGAGAACAGTTCCTAGAACCCAAAGTGCCAATGTCTGATGTCTTCAAAGTCAATCTTCATTCAAGAAGATTGCTAAAATATTCATGAGAGAGACATGGCATTCACGCCCAGTTCATTAATTATCATTTTCTAGATCACTCTATGTTCTTTGATTGAATTTTCTTTTTCACTTGGCGACACTATATCACCAGTAAAGAAGTTTGAGCGACTTTAGCAAGATTGTCTTCCACAGAAAAATGTAATGTTAATGAAACAACAATTTTAAACGCTATTCTTGCTTTTGATGAAAAGGAAAAAACAAATAAATGGGGATATCCCCATGTTTTATGATGAAAAAGCGAATAGGTTACGCGCTTCAAAGAAAGTACGTAGTGTAGAGTATAAGGTAATTCTTTTCAATAGAGATGTTTGCAAAACGGGAAGCCGCAAAACGGGAAGACCACTACAACTTTTGAACCCATTAACAGAGAACAATAAGTTAGGGAATTTCTTATCAGATAAATGAATTTTTTTTATAATTCACAATACAACCAATCTGTGTCAAAGCGCAAAATTGTATAAACTTAATCAAGTAAATGCTACTGGGTTTAATTTAATAATATAATAATAATAGTAACAATAATATGTTTTGAAGAAATTAAAACTATTTAAATATTTATTGTAATTAATATGATTAATTTGTTAAAAATTACTAAATGTTATTTTATTTATTTAAAAATACTCTAAACATTTTCAAAATATACTCTTATTTCTTTTTTGCATGCCATCGTCTCTAAAATCAAATTTTTAATGAGTTTCTTGCATGTCTCAAAATCTCCTTCGCCGTCATCCATTCATATATTTTCGCTGGCCAAAAGCTATCATAAACAGTTAATTTACTAAAAGTTAAAATATATAGCTTAAAAACTTACTTTATGCAGCTTGAAAACTGTAATTACATATCAGAAATACCAACATCCACCTCATTCCGGAGCATGCCCTCGATAATCCGATTAGCCGCCGATGCACCACTTTTCATAGAAAACATATTCTTTAAATTAAGTCATGAAATCTTTTGGTCATGAAATCTAAAGCAGCTGAATTTATATCTAAAACTGTTAGATAAACTGTTGTGGTTTTTATATTTCTATACTTATACATATATTTTTAGTCCGATTCTTAAAGATCGCATCAAGCCACGAACTGCATGTTTTGTCGAAGTGTACACTGTATGAAAAGTTAAAGTTCTGATAGTTAAATGAGAATTGGTATTTTCATAAAAATTTGATGTTAATATCAGGGAAGAAACATGCCTGCAATGGAACATATAGCAACCTTTATGACCTTTATCCATTTCTTTCATGTTTTCCATAAAAACTTGATTTGTCTTGAGTTATTAAAATTTAATTTAAGCAAATATTAACGATAATTGGAAACATAATATTGTTATTGAAACAAATATACCCAAATATGTGATGTCAAATTTGCATTAATCATTCTTTGAACTTCTTCCGGATAGAGTTTAAAGTTGTCTGAAAAGCTTAGAATGCCAGCGTTATATACTAATATCGTACCTTTGCCCAGATCTTTCGTAATATTTTTATTAAGTTCCACTACTGCGCCATAACTTGTGATATCGACCTACATAAGAAATAAAGTATGTCAGTTAAATGATCAGTTATTTACACATCTATATGTACGTGATTATTAGATTATTACGTGCGTAAGTAAATATATATAATTAAATAATTATAGCTTTTGTTTTCACTTTATAATTTTCATTGATTAATTGGACTGTTTTTTCCGCTTCTTCATAGTTAATATCGATGATTGCAATATGACAATCACGTTTAGAATGTTCCATGGATATTGCTCTACCTAGACCACTTCCTCCACCAAAAACCTAAATGAGATTACTTCATTTAGTATTTTAGCCATCAGATAAAATACATATATACTTTTAAATACATCAACTACTATTTTCGATAATATATCTTTACATAATTATGTTTTAAATGTGATTATCATTTTATCATCCATGTTTCTTGAAAGTTATTAGTATTTAAGATCAACCATTTAGGTTGGTGTTAATTGATAATCGGGCTTGGTATATTTATATATTAATTTTGGTATAAAATGATTGGAAAAACATTAGAATAAATACCCCGAAATTTGTTTTTCACAAAAATTTTTGTGTCTTACATCCACGTATATTAATTCGTTGATAGAATGAAGGAATTTTAGTAAAGTTCAGTAGGCACAAAGATTGAAAATTAGCTATGTATAATCTGAAAACATATATACAGTGGAATTTTTGTTAAATGGACTTTGAAGGAATCATCAATTCTGTCCAACAAATAGAACTGATCAATGAACGGTCATATTATTCATGAGAAGATACTCCTAGCCGGAGCCATGATCTTGTAGATGTCCTCTATGGGATGCTCGACAACAGCGAAATATGTACCGTTTTCTGCTTTAATGTTCATCAAAATGAAAAATTATTTACATAATAATGAAGCAAAATCATTTAAATCTTAAGCAGCTGTCAAAGCAATTAACTTATTTGCTAGTAAAATTTATAAATTCTACAATTACAACTCCTAATCCTTTAAATAACTAAAACATGACACATGTACAAGATTTAGAATTACTTTTATATATGCTAAATTGTGTAAATCAGAAATAGATACAATTTGCTTATATTTCCTTTTTTTCACTAAGGGCAAGTGTAAAATCTGTCAAGTGTTGTCCACAACAAAACTTTTCGACTGTAAATGCTGCAATGCACTTGAAACTTGAAGAATTAATGCAAAATAAACGCAATTTGAAGAGGAAAAAGTGGAAATGTATTTAGGTAGTGTCAGATATTGACGCACTTTACACGTCCCAACAAATGCAGTTGCAACACGCGGAATTCACGCTGCAATCGAGTCAATTGTGAAACTCACGGACCCGCTTCCATTTCCTCACGGCAAACCGCTGAGTTTTTCGCATGGAAATGACGCTTCTTGATTTCGAAGTGCAAAGATCTTTTGAAATTTTGCCAAAAAATATATTTTCATTACCTTCTCCTTAAAGTTTTATCACATTTTTTGCCATTTCACTTCTTTAATTTATTTTATATGTTTTCGTATTTATTTTTCTATTTATTTTTCTTTCTTTTTTTTTGGTTTAATTCGAGTTAAGTTGGCTTAAATGGTGCGGAATTAACCTCAGCAAATGAGATTGTGACTTCCTTTTTATGGAGAAAAATAGAAAAATTATGTATGTATTTATAAATGTGTTATTGTATTAGTGTGGGTGGACGATTTTCTAAATTATTTCATCTGGTCATTGTGTAGGGGGAGGAACGGATACCGAAGTGTTTGACTGTGCTTCCTGCGAAGCGTTAAAAAGCCCATTCTCTATACTGAAGGTCATAAATTTTATTGGATTTATGGCTTTTGCTGGTAATTTAATGTGCGAATTAATTGATTTTACTTTTGTTAAACTAACACAATTTTGTATTGCCATCGAAAGGATATAAGCAAAATAAAACAAGTTTTTGACCTACAAAGTTTTTTGTCAAGTACTTGGTGCTTAAATAGAAAACAATCCATTTGATATTTATTAAGTTGTACTAACATCGTCAACCATATAGACCGGATCGAATTCTGAACATCCGCACAAATCACATCAAAATCCCAATTAAACTAAACTTTACGAAGAAAGCCAACCAATAATAGTCTAACGAAAAGAAACCTGTTATACCAAGCTCTTGCCCCAAAATATTCAGAGAAGTAAAGCAGAAACTTACTCAATCTAAACAGAATGGAATTGAAAACAATGATTGCAGGGGTATTAGGTTTTTGCCTTTTGAATAAAGATGCAATGCGATCAGAAATCGATAAAGACTATGTTTGGAACACACAAAAACACTCTGCACACGATTAGAGTATATCTAACATTTATATCATTATAGGACATTAGAGACCAAGAATTAACAGATTTCCCATTTT